CAAGCATTACACCTAGCAGAAAGAATTCTTCTACATGGTGTGTTATAGATTGAGATCCATGGACTAAGTATTCCAAGATCCAAAAAATAGCCTAAAGATTTAAAACTGTTTGTAAATATGAACAATAACAAGCCTTGTAGCTCTCTGGGTATCAGGAGTTGGAGTGAAATAATCAAAGTTAACAGCAAATTCCCTGTGATATAATAGGGTCAAGGATCATACTTATATTCTACTTAAGGTTTTGCATATGTGAGGTTAGAAATGGTGAAGGTGGTACCAGAAATAGCTTTGCTGCTTTAATGACAGCAAAATGAATGGTGATTAAAAGGTGCTGGGAGTCCTGTAACCTCAGATGGGAGCTAAGGGCTATAATAACAGTTCAGAAGACAGTCTAGAAACAATTTTTAGCTCTTTCTTTAAGAAGATGGAGGCCTTGACATAGCAAAATATTTTCTCTAAAGGATGGCCAGGCTGTTGTTGGACATGGGGTTTGTGCAATCTAAGCAGAGGTGTGTGAAAATTAGAGGTGATGTTCCTTTGTGGTCAGAGGAAGAGGCCAGAAAGCAGCTGGGGCACTCCTGTGCCTGCATTACAGTTGTTTGCCTTTCTCCATCCATGGTAGAAGGGAACGTAACCAATGTAAATCAAAACTTTTTCAATATTTAAGTTATCCAGCACAGTGTATCCAGCATGGTGACTACTGCAAAGCTTTGTGAGGGACTTGTGGGCTCCTGTTAAGAGAAAGAAATTGAAAGAATGAGTAATGTATTGCCTGTAAATAGTGTAAAATAATGAGTGGGAGGAGCAGGGAATTGCAGAGAATTGGCTGCAGGGTTTTGTCTTTCCCTTCCCCCTTGCTCCTATTCTATTGCGTGGATCAATAGAAAGGGAGAGCAGTTGTGTAATGGCTTTTTTGCCCATCGCTGTGTGCTGTTGGTTTGACACATGCAATTTACTTGGAAAAGCTTAAGTAGCCTTAATAACAGAAAGTCCCAGCAGAGCTGACACTAATGGTCTCCCCCGTTGTCAGTCTCAACAGAGAGATTAAGAGCTGAATGAACAAAGAGGCCCAATTACTATCTCCCGCTCTGGACGTGGCCCATGAAAGCAGGTGTGAGCTGTGGCCGTGGCTTTGCACAGACTCTGCCATGGCCTGGTGTGAGGGGGCTGTTTCTGTGCTCTCGGGTTACTGCCATCGCTGAGGGCTGCTGCAGCATCACCTGGCCCAGCTTGTTTGCACCAACAGCGAAGCCCAGTCATGCCCTGATGATGCCCATTACAGAGCACTCTTCAGACACTCACCATCCAATACACTGGGCTAAACCCAGCCCAGCTGAGTCTACCATTTTTTCTACTTGGACAAATCATCAAATCATTTCGCAGACAAATCATCTTTTCTTGGCCCAAGCTCTCAGGGAGGTGGCACAGTGCAGCTCTGCAGGGTGTGCAGCCACAGACAGACGTGTCCCCACTGGACTGGACTTGCAGAAAGGTCCCAAAGAATACAGAATATTGTTTCTGCTTTCATCCAGAGCTCGGAGCAACTTGGTTAATAACAAAATATGAGCACCGTCTGTGAATGGCTGCACACTACCCTTTATGAGTGCTGTTCCTCAAATATATTATAAAGCACAGTGCCAGCTCTCTTTTGCCTCCCTTCACTAGGACAGGTTTGTACAATCAATCCAATATTCAGTTTTAAAAAATTGCTGCTGCATGTGCTATAATTTTGTGTCTGTTTTTTATGGCTGATGTGTGGAAGGCTTTAATTGCAGCTCATTTCTCACTAAGACTGGTCTTTTTTCAGGAATTTTTATCTTCTTCTGTTTCTCTAGCTTGGCAGACCAAAGATTTCTCACCATTAGGAAATAAAACAAATGTGTTTCAAGAGGATGGTGATGGTTTAATTTTGAAAAATATGTACCCCACCTTATCCAGTCTCAGTATTGAGGAAAAACATCATCTTTCAGTGAACAGCTGATATTTAAAGATGCTATCCTGTTGACAAACTGTTAAACCAAATCTGTCTCCCTGGGATTTAAAAGATTAAGACCTAAATAATACTTACAGCATCAGTATCAACATTGTCTAGCCTTGCCAGTCTTTGCTTTATAGCTCATTGTATTTTCCAACATCACTTAAAATACCAGGTACACCAGGTGAATGGTGGAGCAAAACATATTTGTATTTCAAAAGTAGTGAAATAGGTGCTTTTCATTTAATTAATTGAATATAAGTATATGAACATTTAATTGATGTATATGAACATATTGATGGTTCTAGAGAGGAACAACTGCTCTTGTTCAATATAATAACTAATATTTATGCTGCTAAAATATACTTAATATGCATGAAAAATAATGGGTTTGGCTAAAACCAGGTTAGTACAGCTTTGTGTGTTTTTCATACAGCATAAAAAGGAGCACTGCACATCAAATGAATGCAATATTTAATTGAAAGTGAAATGCTTAACACTCATAGCAGCAGTTCAAAGATGAGGACAGCTTTATTAGTGTTTTAGAGTCACGCTTTCTTAAAATTGAATTCTTGTCTTACTGTGATAATTAAAGTTTTGCTGTTGATCTCCAGTGATTAAATTGGCTCCCTTATATATCACAGTTACACTGTTGGTTTTTTAAGTGATTTGCATACATTAGAAATTGCAGGGAGGAGAAAAAAAGTATTAACAATCTTTATTAACAAAGACTTGCATGACTGATGAAAATAGAGGCGTATATAAATTTTCTATTCCCACCAAAACACAATTTGAAATACCTCCTCCTTAATGGACTGGAGTGCATTTTGGGAAATACCTGTGTATTTCTTAAATCATATGCACTAAGCAAATACGACAGTTTATAAAGTAGTAATTTATTATAAATATTTACTCTACAGCCCCAGTGAGGTTTTTGACAGCATGGGCTTGTCCCTGGGAGATTCCCTTTTTTCTTCCTCCAGTTCTCTCTCAGCAATTGTTTTGAAGAGAATACTGGCAAAAGAAGCTTTTTCATTGTTTGTACTCTCTTCCCCTTTCTTAGAAGCCTTTCATTCTTCAGCAAAGGCAGAAGTTCTTTGCCTGCCCTCCTTTGCTAACCCTTCCACTTGCCCTGATGATCATGTACAATCTCAGACCATTTCTTTGCTTTTTCAGCTCTTCTCTTAGTGTCCACCCTCACGTCTCATTCCTCTGGTTTTGCAAGCAGCATCTGAACCTCTTCCACCGTGAAAAAAGACCAGACCATCACCAGTTACATTTGCTCTTCTAGATACCTTCTGCAATTCTCTTCTCCCCTTTATTGCTCAATGTGCTGTCAGTGGTTGTTGGTGGTACAGTGGCTTTTCCAGTCCAGCTTTGCACATTTCATTCTGGGCACAGCCTTTCCTGACCTCTCCCTCCTCAAAGGAGACAGTGTGTGCTTCCTCCTCAGCCTCACATCAGCGGCCATCTCTCTGCAGTCCCTGATGTTCTTGAAATCCTGTCCGTGCCTTTGTTCTCTGATCTCATACAAGATGTTGGGTAGCATGCCTCGGCTCTTAAACTGCTCGTGGCATTGCTGCTGGGTCCCTCCTACTCTGTCTGCCACTCTATCCAATTGCTGCTCCTTGATTTCCTCACAAATACAGAACAGGGATCTATTTCACCTTTTGGACCCTTTTCTTTGAACTGAGTTTCAGATTGTTAGTAGTCTTTAACAAGTAATATGTAAATTAGCAGCATGTTATGTTAATTTCATACTGTAGATGCTATTTGCCAGATAGAATATTTGTATTGCTGTGGAGTTACTTCTGCTAGCCTGCAGTTTTCAAAGAGTATAGATAAGAGATAAGATAACCAAGTGGAATCACACTAGCTGTGTTCCCAATGAACCTGCTGAGGTGAACAGAATGACACACTAATCAAATTATCTTGAATTAGGCTTAATTATGTTTTTGCATGAATGTTTCTGGTTTGTTTATGGTTTTTTGTTTTTTTTTTTTTAAAAAGGAACCTTCTGTTTTTCCAGTTTGTACATGAAATTTTAAGAGCACATAACCTAAGGAACTTGTACCACCTCTGAGACATTTTAGGAACCTGTCTTCAGAGTACACCATTTATTCCTAAACTGCAGTAGCATATAAGTTCATCCAAGTTGTAAGAAGGGATGAGCCTGTCCAAGTTCCGTTTCTTGATTTTTACTTTAGGCTATGTCTTTTTGCACATCATCTTGAATGTGACTGTTGATAGTCTACCTGTAGTTTAAATGCAGTTTATTTATTTGGTTCTTTATATTTCAATTGGTATTTCCAATTAAAATGAAACAGCAAGGTGTGTTCACAAGACAGTGACATTGTCATTGACAACTTAGTCAGCAAAACAGTACCAGAAGGTCAAGTCACAGACATAACTAGTGCTTAGTTTTCCAATGCCTTTATGCTTTTGTACTTAAACATATCTGCTGATCTGAATGTATTAGGAAAAAGGATAGCAAAAGCAGCTAAATTATGTGGTAATTTTAATTAGTAGGAAAGAGGGATGGTAAGGTCTTCCAACAGCATTTTCTAATTGAAGTCACTGAACTGGCATTTCAGCAATGAGTTCTGCTTCAGAGATCAAGAGAGATTATTTATCCTTAGCAGTTTTCAGCTCTCAAAAGTTCATGCAGGCCAAGTGACTTCCATCATTCATGAACACTGTTGTGAACTTGTCCCTTTCCTGATTTTATTGATTTGTCACGTGATTTCTGGGGAGAAATTAAATTCTCTGTTACATTTTCCTCATCCTTACAAAACAGTGAGGGTTGCACAGTTTTATTTTCAGAGGTCAGATAGTGGGAACTAAACTGGAGAGCTGTGGCTGGAACTTGTTTATAATGGGAAGTGGGTGTATAAACCTCAGGAGGAAAAGCCTGGGTTTGCCCAGGTGTGCAGGCAGCTGAGTGCTGCAGAAAACACTGGTATTAAATTTCTATGTTCTCACTCTGCTGTGAGTCTCCGTTTATGATGTGTTTCTCCTCACCCAGGAGCAGCGTACAGAGACTTGCTGTTGTTGCCAACACTGGAAAGACTGAAGCTGGCATCCCCATAGTCCTTCTCCAGAGGTTGCCTTGCAAGACACAGCTATAAAATGTTCATCAGAAAAAATTGAACCGTAGATCCTTAAGAGTGAGTAAAAAACAAATGTGACCTTTCCGAATTTTTGTCTAAAATGTATAAAAATAATGCCATGGATTTTGCATTTTAGAAATGCATTCCAGTTCCTGGGTAACTAGGAACTGTGAAGAGCTTGGACTGAACCTATGGCACTGGGTTATGGTATTTACATTGCACTGCTGTGTTCTTTGGGGTGTGTAGTTCCTTGCTTCCTCTGCTGTCCTTGTACGCCTCTGTTGAGCTCCATTTTTGAGGACCAGAGGCTTGAGGAGTGTCAAAGGTTGAAATGGGATTTCCCTGAGCAGAAGGCTAGCTTAGCTAGCTTGAGTTCTTCAAGATAAAGACTGTCCCCCTAGGAAGCCCCATCCTCTGCACAAGGAGGGGTTTCCATGCACTAAAGTGTTCCATTGTTTCTGGAAAACAAGGCACTCTCAGTGCTGGAGGACTAGCTGCTCTTGTGGGATCACTGACTAGGACTTAGAAAATTAGACCTGAGAGTGTGATGCAATTTCTGAAGTCCATGCAGAAGATAAGTCATTACTCAGATTTGCTGGTACTTTCTGCACTGGTTCAGTTTTGCATTTATTTTCCAATCTGAGTGTTTTCCCATGGTAAGTTAGAGGGCTTGCTCCACATGGTTACTCCTGCTCTTTGGTCCCACTGTCCTCAGCTTCCAGAAAGGACACCTCTGATTGAAGAGGTGAGTTATTTGAGAACTGTTACCTGTCAGTGTCCAAGGTGAGTCTTTTCCCTCAAAAGCATCCCTCATTATCATGCTATCACCAGTGCACCTTCTGGTCTCACCAGAGATTTTTCCATTGAGATAATCCCTGCACAGCTGTCTACTGTCACCTTTGCAAGCTAACATGAAAGCACGATCAGCCATACCATCAGCATGAAGATGCCTTCAAGTTAATAGCACAATACAGTCAACCAACAAAAAATGTAATCTGATGTGATGCATACAGCCCATAGAATGTGTGCAAAACACCTTATTTTTTTTAGTTTTATTTTTAAAGTTATTTTTATCCCCTAGACTTGTTTTTCTCAAAGATTTGGCTTATTTAGGTACTTTGTATTGTGGGATGCTGCTAATGAAAGTAATTGTTTTATTCCTGAGGGGACTGAGGCATGTTGTAAAATGGGATGTAACAATCCTTTAATACAATATAAAAAGGGTTTCCAGGTAGGTACATTCTCTGTTGCTGCTTGAAATGTTTGTGGGTTTTGGTTCTGCAAGTTATTACTGCTTCTGCCCCTCCTGCTTGTGTAACTGCAGAGAAATGAGTGTTAAAACAGGACCATTGGGCTTGTCACACTCAATTGTGTTCTTGGTGACCCCAGCTTATGAAAAATAGAAACAGCATTTAACCCTCAAATCACTAATGGGGTGGTGGGACAGAAAGAACCTCTAAGCAGTGTGGGAGGGTGGAATAGGGAGGAAATGCAGGAACTTCAAAAGGAGAGGAAATCCATGGGGATTTAGCTCCTCTTGGTCCAAAATCAAGAGGATTAAACTCTGCTCAGAGTTGAGTGCCAAGCACTACATTGTAAGAATGGATCTCTGATTCCTACAAGTCAGAGAATTACTGTTTAAGCTGCAGAAATAAGTCTGAGAATTTGGAGTGTGCTGAGAAGTGAATTTGATCTGTCTGATGCAGTTGCAAGGAAAGGCCAAGCCCAGTTCCAGGACTCTGGGATGCAGAAGTTGATCTGTAGAGAAGATCATAGTGAATTATTAACTGTGTGGTCATCATGACCTGAAGGGTTAACTGGCCTACAGGAACAAGAAGATTTTGACCATGGGAGTTTCAGGGATCCTGTAGCACAGAAGTGGTCCCAGGGGAAGAGCAGTAAAGCAACAGGCAGAGTCTGGCATCAATGATGAGCCTTATCACAAAGCTGGGGGTCAGCCAGACATCCCTGAGGAGGGTCAAAGAGTTTGTCTAGAAGATCTTGTGGAAAGTTTGTGTGGGGAGCTCAGCCTGTGTAGGAAAACCACAAGCAGTGCAGGAAATAACCAGAGGATTTGGGTAAGAAGTCCTTTCTATGGCACAGAGACATTAGAGGGTGTACAACACACTCACCTGAGCAGCCAAGAGGTGCTGTTAATTTGTTTTTCAGCTGAGAGAAACAAGTAATGATGATGATGATTTCTCACATCTCAGATCACTGTTTCCTGTTCTTGCAGTTAGAACAGCCAATGGCAGTTGTTGAACCTTCCTTTCTCAGGATGTTTGCCCCTTTTTCCACTTTTCCCACTTCTTTCACCTTTTCAGATGATAAGTTCCTTGGTTTTCTGCTTCTTGATGGTATCTCAGGATGGCTGTGGTTGCTGGACACCCCCAGCTGCCCTTCAGAGATGCTGACTGCTTTTCTCAAGGATGCTGCTGGCTCCAGGCTCACACTGCAGCAGGCATCTCCTCTTTCAGCCACGTACTCTGCTCAGTGTTTCTCTCCTTGCAACCAGGTTACCTTTAGGGCTGCTCACATCAAGAGCCCTCTGCAAATATTCTGTGTAGTTTTGAGTACCAAGCCTCAAAAGAGCTGTGCCAGGGGATGAATAAGCAGAGAGCTGGAGTAAGTTAGCTAGAGGAGAGTGGCAAAAACCTCCAGTGTTTTATCTAGACAAGAAAGCAATGAAGGAAATGAAAGGAGGGAAGGGGACAGGGATCCTCTAGAGTGATCTTCCATACTTCATTATGTTTGTCAATATAGGAGATATATATTAGGTGTCATTTTGATAAACCAGCTTATTTTGTGGGGAATAGAGTATTTTAATTGTCTGGAGTACAGTGCTGACAATATTGAAATCTCTGTTCATTGCCCCAGTTTCTGTGCCTTCACATGGCAGTCCAGTCAATTCGCTGAGACTGCTGACAAATGTATCCTTTGATATGTGTTGGAATCATTTTGTCATTTATGAACAGCTTTGCACTAGAATAGGAGTAGAGACCTTCAGTGGGTGTCATGTAGGACCCTGCACAGCAAGGAAACAGCAGTTTTGGTGGCTGACTTGACCTGGCTACCAAAGCAGAATTGAGCCCACGGTCTCAAGAGGAAAAGCTTTGTCACCTTCAGCTGCTGCTGTGTGACCCAAAACACTGAGCACCACAGGAGGTGTGCAGCATGGAGGCTTTGTGCACTGCATCAGAGAGTCTTTGCTGTCTTTGCCCTAAACTCTGGATAGGATAGGGTAAAGTCCCTGAACTTTTCTCTCCTTGTTAGGATCTCCTCAGAGATGATTTAAAGTTGCTCCCCAGTTCTTCAGGTCTCTTGCAAAGCCTGCTGAGGTCAGAGAGAGCCCTCTGGCAGACTCGGCAAGTTTGGAATCTTTCCTAAAGAGGTTCCCTGTGTGAATCAGATGCAGCTAATTTAGCTCATCAATAATGTTTCTTTCTTGGGAGCTACAGCCAGTTTCTCTACAGCAGCACTGGGAGATCAGTGCATGGGTTTAGGAAATGAGAATTACTGTCCTAGCTGTGCTGACTGGTGGGGTGATTCTATGCAAAAAAATGCGACCTCCATGTCTGCTTCCCTGCTGTGTTCAGTTTCTCTCACTTGCCCATTTTCCAGGGTGTGCCAAATCCGTGGATATTTGTGCTTCCTCTTGCTGTTGCAGTACCCTGTGGTGGGAAGCAAATGGAAAAATCGTGATCTCTTGATGATAATGGTGTGCACCATAACAGGGGCACACACCTCTCTGGGGGTTGCATTGGACATACTCAGCACTTCCACCCATGCTTGTCTGAATACACCTTTCTCCCACCCTGGCCTCTTCATCCCTAAGATTTCATCTACTGACTTTGAGTTAAGCTTTTAATTGACACGCTGCCTGCCAGACTCTTGCTGTCATGCCAGAAGCCCAGCAAAACTGAGGAATGTTGTGCCAATATTCGTGTAGTCACGTTGTCTCCATGATTCAGTGCTGAGCTGGGTGGCACTGGTTACCCCACCTGCCAGTGCTCTCCCAAGACATCAGCTGTGAAGGTGCAGGAGGGGCTGCGTCATTGCTGCTGGCAGCTCCTAAGTCGTGTTTTTCTTGAAGAGGAAGAGCATCTCCAGTGCTCTTTTGCCAGCTGAAAAATATTTTGAAGCTGGTAAATGTGTTCTTTTCTTCTCTGCTGTGTCAGCCAGAGCATTTCCTGATCACTGCCTGGGTGCACATCTTTAATAGTGTGTATAAAAGATAGGATCTAGCTCAAATAGGAGTTTGTGCCTTGGTGCTGGTTGGCATTAGATTATTGTAGTGGTGTTTTCTGGCCTTGAAAAAAAAAATCTGTAAGTGTAGCAATTAGTTTTTCTTGAAATTTTTTGTAGTGTCTTTTGCAGTATTAACCTGAGTTACTGTTATGCGCTGTCTGGGAGGGTGTGGGGCTGCTTGTGCTAGCAGGGAAGGGGGTTCAGGTCATACATGGGCAGGAGGAGATCTCTGCACCAGCCCTGTGACATGGCAGCAGCAGGGTCCCCAAACTCAATGACAGATGCTGTCCATGCTAAATATCATGTGAACCCTTGCAGCACAGGACATGCTTTGGAATCAGAAAAGGGAGAACAGCAGAGAAGGACAGGAAGTTGGTTGTGGAAAGGGTTATGGCACTTTCTGCTCACAGTGAGGTCCTGCAGTCATTTTAATAGGGTCCTGCACAGAGGGTGACAATGAGGGACAGTTCTCCCATCCAGAAGCCCCACTGTGTGTGATGGTAACATAAAACCCCACTCTCCCATGAGCACAGCCGTGTGTCTGCTTGGTTCCCAAGGTTAGGCTCTGGCACTTCTGTTAAACAGCAGTCAGCTGGAAAGATCTCCTAACTGGTTTTATGCAAATGGGAGCAGATATGTCGTGCATGTGTGTTTGCACACTGGCACTGTCCCCTATCAAACAATAGATATTGTTTTGTCATGTAAATAGTGCCCAACTGTCACAGAGAAATGATGACCTTTGTCAGGGTCGAGCCATTTGTTGGTGAGGGGAGACTCAGACACTCAATATGAGTGATAAGCAAATTCCGTTTATTGAAGAGAGCATCAGACACTTATACAGCGAGTAATAAGCTTATGAATATTCTGTAAGCTAAGCAATCTATTGCTTAAACTATACTATCAACTCTTCCTCATTCCTTAGGGGTTACTCTCTCTTTTCTCATGTCTCTTTCACTGTTTGTTATCCTACCACAGCTAGGCCCAAGGACACTGCTATCTGTGCAGGTGCAAGACTTGGAATTAGCCATGGTTTTGTACTTTTCCATTTTCTAGCAGCTAAATTCCCAACATCTCCCCTGTTTTTATTTTTAAAAAAAGTTCTATGGGCTAAAGGTGTTATACTCTTTGCAACACAAAACTAGACAATTCTAACAACTAAACAGTATTTTCAGCTAGTAAGGTTTCTCTCTTATAAGGGATCTAAGCTAGGAAAACAAACCAAAAAGCTATCACTAATTACAAGACATGCTATACAACAAATACAAAAAAGAATTCTATGTGTTACAAAGCTCAAACAAAACTTAGGTGTGTTAATATAACTCACAAAAATAAGCTAAAGAAAGTTTGATTTCTATTTTTAAACAGCAGATTCTGATTGTCTTTAACTAAAGTTTTTCTAATGTTTATAACAACACTCTACACACAAGTCATAAAACAAATGCCTATCGTAAAAGCATAAATCTATCTAACATTACTTAAACTTAACAGCGCCTAGACTTAAATTTTTTTTTTTTTTTACGTGTTTGCTGCAGCATTTTTATACTTAATGCACTTAATGTACTTAAACATAAAAAGTTTGTTTAAGGTATACATGTAAAAAAAAAATTCTTTTGAATTCAGTGTTTGCTTTTACCTCCACCACATTCAAACAAGGCTTAAAAAACACAAAGAGCATACTTATTACATCTTACTTATACAATCACTTTAACACATTTTTAACTTTTTTTTTTTAAATTTTTCAACATCAACTCTGGTTTATTCATCAATCAGGCACCTTTTATAACAGTGTTAATTCACTTAATGCATATTGCAAAATCTGAGCTCACAATAGGTCAGAGATAACATACCAACTCCTCCTTATGTTTCCAATACCAAGATTTGGGTTCTCAAAATTATTTTTGCTTTCCCAAAACAGCCAAAGATAGAATATCTACTTGTTATGAGAAAGCTGCCTGAGAACTCTGATATGCAAGG